TCTGTTGAAAAAGATTCAAGAAAACCATCCTACCAAAGAAAACATAGGCGAATTTTCCAAGAGCACGAAAGATTTCGTTGGCGCCAACCTCGTCTGCGGCGGAAAAAGCATCGATAGTGCTGAAGATAAGTGCAGTGGAAAAGTAGAATAACTCAACAATGATGCATACTGCAACAAAAAAAAAATAGATAATTTGCGTACCTTGATAAAACAATGGCAACAGCATCATTGAGGGCACTCTCACCAAATACTAGTGCAAAAAGATCTGCTTCAACATTCATCTCGGTGAAAATTGAGATAACCGTGACTAAAAACGTAATTGAGTCGACTTTCAAATTGCACATCTCACACCTGGATCAGTAGCAGAAATAACTGCACCAAAAAACAGTAGCTCTTGGAAAGAGAAACCCATGCCGAATATACTGGTGAAGACGTACATGAGCGCGCTCAAAAAAGGGTATTTTTAAAGCTACTGCTAGTAGAAAAAGGCTATACAGACGAACTCACCGTCATTGTTTGCAAACAGAGTAAGTATCATATATGCAATAAAAGAAACGTACCCAGTAGCGAGACAGGACACAGTCGTTCCAATAAAAACGAAAGCAAGAATACTTCCTATATTTCGAAAAAAATGCCGCTTTTTGAGACTGTACCCCGCGTTGAAGATTATTGGAGGCAGCATGATGTTAAAAAATATTTCGGGCGAGAAAGCACTCTAGAACCATTATATCGAACATGATGTGTAAAGCGCAAAAATGCATTCTCTGATCACCTACTTTTTGTTCTATTTTCTGCTCATTGTGTTTTTTCTTGTCCGCATAAAATCCTTCCATCAACTCGTAATGAAAAGATACTTTTGGAGCACCTTCTGGTTTAACCTCGAGCCTTAATAAGGACGAATAGTAAATACTATGTAAAGTGATATCTTCATGTAAACCAAACCTCAGGTAATCTGGTGGTTCCTCAACCACTCTACTGTCCTTCAAAACGACGTCTAAAGTTTGCGACTGCAGCAAACCGATATCAAAATAACGAATCACGAAACCGATCAACAGTCCTAAAACATTCGTTTTTGAGATCAAGAGACCACAACGGCCTCATGAAGTGAATATGAATTTGTGTAATTCTTATCAGTCCAACAAGTCAAAGTCAGCCAAACTCGACACCGGTGAGACAGCTCTGCTCCTCGCTACAGGTGGTGTGGTAAAGTTGCCCACCTTACGATCTATTTGGCAAGAAAATGCACGAGATTGGGATATCTGTTTCTACAAACTTAGTTAGATAAACAAGCTTTGGAGCTCGAGCATCAAATTGAGCCAGAGGGCAATTGTGTTCACTACCATCGACACATACAAACAACAGAGGTCGTTATTTCTTTGCACTTTAATCATACTATGGTTGAGATTTCGTTCAAGACTGTTCTACTGACGTAATGCACTTTTGTTGAACAGTGCAATTTCCAACTATGGCACTGAAAATTTCCAAGTTAAACAGCCATTTCAACCATCAAATATTTTTGTGACCAGATTTCAGAGATAAGCTTTGTAGAACTTGGAAAGACCTCAAAAACGCTCTGTGAAAGCGTAGATCCTCAACGGTGCAGTACATATGCGAAGGGACCAGTAGACCGCAGACACGACGCCGGTCGGGATTCGCTATTCTACTCGAGTACTCTCACTTAGCTTCAAAACGGTAGCAAATATGGATGGCCTCAAGTTATAAATTCTAGAGTTCTCAAATAACTTGAATAGTCTAATTCCTTCAATTTTCTAATTTTTACCCGCCAAAACGCTTCCATTCGAATAAAGATACCACCATAACAAACTTGTTTGGTCAAGCACGATCTGTTTTCATTTGTCAGTCACATAATTTCAAAATGTCAAACAAACACAAGTAACCTTGAAAAGATAATATGCCTCATTCCAGAATTCCAGGGCTGAGCATCGCGCAGAATACCAAAAGCTTCAGAAATTTACCATATTGCATAGCACCGGAGACTAGTCCCGTAACGAATGCGGATGCCTATACCTGCTACGCAAAACTCCGCAAGAAAGCTTGTTGGCCTAATAAGGGTTGATTCATACTGCCGCACTGACTGCAGCTGACTGCAGTGGCCGCAGCATGTTCACGGAAGAAGAAAGAACGATGACACCTTGAATGTTGCCTAGGAAAATCGAAAGTTCTGATTTCTCTATTTTCAGTCAAATTTCTCTTTTTTACGAGAATAAGCGGCCGCTGCAATCGCAGCGGTCAATGCGGTCAGCTGCATTCTGCTACAGTCTGCTGCGGTCAGTGCGGCAGTAT